TGGCAGCAGGCTTCATGGTGAACCGTTACATATGTGGCAGCAGGCTTCTCAGCAGTTTTCTTCATACACATGAAACACTGTCAGTTTTCTCACCTTAGTTCTTCACAGTGGTTTTACCCCTTCACACTGTTTTAATCTACATTTTAAGGACTATTCTACAGATCCTTTTTGATTCATTACCCTTAAGTAACTTAAGAGTATTATGTCAGTTTCAAATTAGAAAGAGAAGCCTCAAGCTCATTCCTCAGTCAACTGGTTGACATTTTAAGCTCCTGTTATCTTTTGATATAAAATTGCTACAATTACCATTCATTGTTTTTTTAATGCATATATTTTATAAACTAATCTTGTTTCCTTGATGAATCAAAACCTTGCTTTCATCAAACATTTTCATATAATTACAAATGGCTGACTCAGTTAGGCATGGCCATTCATGCCTTTAATCCCAACACTCAGGAGGCAGAGACAGGCAGAGGACAAGGCCATCCTGGTTTACATAGTAAGTTCAGGACAGCCAGTCTTTAAAAAAAACAACAAAACTAAATCAATATTGGTAGTGGATCCCTGCATAAACATATACTAAGATGTACTGGTTAATTTCAGTGTGTGATGGTTTATGTTTTTATTTCCAACTTTTTTGTTTTGTTTTGGTTTTTGTTTTTACTTTTCTCAAGACAGGGTTTTCTGTGTAGTCCTGGCTGTACTATATTTGATTTATAGACCAGACTGGCCTCGAACTCACAGAAATCTGCCTGCCTTTGCCTCCCCGAGTGCTGTGATTACAGGCATGTGACACTGCACCCGGCTCCAAGAGTTTTATAATAAGATTCATTTCCAAAAAAAAAAAATTTTAAAAATCAGTATTTTTAATATTATAAAGAGATGATTCATTCTAATGACAATCATAAATAGAAAAAGGAATTAGTTAAATATTTAAAAAGCAGAATTGACTGCTAACACTTCATGACATTACAACCATGACACCAACATGTGACCTAAGGAATATATAAAAAAGCTTTGCAATTTGGATCTAAAAGCCTATGTCTTTAATTATTATAACTTAAAAATAAATACAAAAACAGTCTTGAACCTGGGCTTATGTTATACTAAAAAGTACTTCAATCCTTTACTTAACCTGAAAATATTTTTTAAATCATATAGAATTTAAGAGGAGCTTTCCTACTTTTCTCAAAACATGTTAATTTGTTCTATAAATATAAAATTAACTAGGCTTAATTTTAAAAAATTATATGGAAATATCAACAAAAAATTAAAACCCCCTTATTGAGTAGAGTTTTCTTCACTGGATTTCCAATCAGGGCAAGAACCATCCATCTAAAACTATCACAACCAAATTCATTTCCATTACTGGCTCCAAAAGGTCCCTCATCACCAACTGCGACCTGTCACCACCCTACACACCTGCCAGCCACTGGCAGCCTCTCCTGTCTTTTATTTCTCTCTCCTTCTTGTAGGCTTCCTAAACTACTACCATCAAAGTCAATCCAAAGCGTGGGAGTCACGGGGAACCTCCGCAGACGAACAGGACCACGTCATGGTACTAATAGTACATGGTGAGACTGAAAAAATATAAGCTTTAGAAAACAATGCAGAAAATACTCGCTACTTCACACGGTCTTTGTTAAGTTATGCAACAATGTTACTCATTATATGCTTGAAGCTATTAGTGGTCCGCAAAGGTAACTGAGTCTTGGTCTGTTTAAAACAACAATCCTGAGTATTTTTAAATCTCTTTAACATTAGCGGAGGAGGCGATAAAGAAGAATAAATTAAGAAAAATACAAAATTTATTCTCTGAAGAAAACAAAAATATACAGAGAGAAGTTCTATATGAAGGGAGCAATGAAGCTTGTCTTTCTTTCCCCAGTTCTATTTCTAGAAACAGAATATTTAACAGGTAATCAGACAAAATTCAGTAAAGCCAAGACATCTCTTGGAAAAAAATCCTTACATATGGCAAAGTCAGGTTTAGAAAATTACTGCTGAGTCCTAAAATGAGGGATTAAAAATAATGAGCCCATATTTAAAGGTTTTGACAAAATAAAAACATATATTTAGACTCAAGAGGAAAAAAGGAAAGATTTGCTCTCATAACATGAAATCTGCTGTAAAACCTTAGAAGATATTTATTTCATGGTTGGTCTTACTTGATTTAAGAGGCAAATTCATTTCTACAAGAATGAATTAGTATTTGGTGTTGCCATTTGTCCTTATTAAATTTTTCTTTCTTTTCTTACTTCCCTAAAATAATGAAGAAATAAAAATGGGACTTTTTCCTTAATCTTTTGGTTAGCAGAGTTTTATGGCACACAAACTGCTACATTTTTTTCTAGTTTTCATTTTATTAAAAAAAGAAAAACAAACAAACAAAAAAGCCCAACCCACTCTTTATATAATGAACTGTTATTAAAAGTGCTAGGAAGAAGTCAGGAAGGTCAGCATGTGTCTGTCACATTGTGTCTGGAGGCTGAATCCCTAGGAAATGTGGCGTGCTGTCATGGAGCTATGAGGCAACTTTCAGGCAGGGCTCGGTTCCTTTAGCTGCTCCTTCCAGTCCCAGGCTGAGGAAATCTTGCAGTAAGCAAGGCAGTTACAGCTTTTTCCTCACAGAGCCCCGAGACTAGCTGCCTTTTTTCCTTCACATTTTTCTCTGCCCTGTTCCCCTCATTTACTTACTTTGCATCCACGCCACCACATTTGCCTTCGAAGCTGCTTGGATCTGTTGCTGAAGGCAGTTGCATTATCCGATAAGCTTTCTGTATCACACAGAGGGTGGAGAGAAGGATTAAATGACATAACAGGATTCTCTTATCTAGTCACACAAAGATTAAAAAAACCATTAATTTCTATGTCTTAAAAATTGTTCCCATAAATTCTGTTAGTTTACATTGAAAAACAAAAAAAGGCAAAATACAGTGGAAGGTCAGTTTGTATAACCACCCCCAGCCCACACCTACTCAAGATTCGAGAACCTTTCCTAGGGCCTCAGTGCTTATACACAAACATCTTCATTCTCGTAAGTAGTTTAAAAATAAGAATAGTCAGGGGAAGCAAGATGGACAATAAGCCTGATGACCTGAGGGATCCACAGGGATCCACGTGACGCAAGGAGGGGGCCACATCCCTAGCCTACACATGCTCGTGTGATCCAGCATATGCATGTGCACACACATTAATGTCATGAAAATGTTGAGATGGTTGGGCTGGGGTTGTTGCTCACAGGCAGATCCTGAAAGTAAACATGATCCCAGCACCAGAGACAAAACAAATACTTTATTTAGCACATCTCTAGAAAAAAATCTGCACATAGAGAAAGTCAAATTTTTAGAAAACAAGGATAACTGCTTTTGAGTGGGGGGAAAAAATAAAGCAATCAAGCCAGTTTTTCGGGAGGCAAGTCTATCAGGAATGAACCTGGCATGCAGCCATTCACCGTTCAAACAGCATGCATGAATGGCTAATACGTGCCAAAAACCATTGCAGGCTCAAAGACTAACATCTGCCTGTAAACAAAAGCTGCTAAGTTTCCAGGGAAAGCATAAGTCGTCATCCAAACAATATGTGAGGTCCAAGTATGTGCTAGGAATCATCAGAGACACGGACAATACATGAGGTCCAAAACATGTGCTACGAACCATTAGTCTTTCAGTAAAGAAAGACTGCCTAATTACCAGGAACACATAAAATAAAAATATTAGGCAACTTTGGAAGGAATACTAAAACAAAACAAAACAAAACAAAACACAAAGTGTATCAACATAACAGGGCAAGAGAAAAGAGGGGATTTAACTTTTCAGCAATGAAGTTTTAAATTCTCCATTCTTAACTGAGTAAGAAGTAAACAATAGAGTAAGACCATTCGTGTTGATCGGCAGAAAACAAGCCATGGAAATCAATCTTATGACTGTTACCTTCCTAAGCCATGATTTCTAGACTGGTGAGACAGACAGAAGGCACATACTCACAGGACCAAGAAACATGGGAAATGGCCGTACCTGATTTGTCCTGTAGTTCATCCAGTCTCTCTCCTCTTTCAATTACCTTTGTAATATTCTCTTGCATTACATCAATAACTTCATCCACCTGATTCTGAACACTAATGTGAAAAAGAGGTAAGATTTATTCTTCTTTTGGGAATACCCACACTTTTAGAACTTCTACTAGATGTGGCAAATTCTCAGAAAACTATGGTTTGCCATTGAACTATAAAATTATGCATTGTTCTTCCATTTCTGGGCCTAAGTACCCAAGTAACTGAGAACAAAGAACATATATTAAAGCAATGTTTAAGTGAAAGTTATTTTTAGTCTTGATTCGATCTTCAGTGTATCTCATATGCATACCAAACATTGACAGATGTTCAGTGTGACTCTAAATGCTTCATTTTCTTTTCAATAGATGGTTGAAACAGCAGGTAAACCTAATAACCACAACCCACCTTCCTTTGCAATGCATTTCAACCAAAAGACTTACCAAGGAGTTTGGTCAGGTTTCCTCAAGGCTAATAAAAAAATACCTAGTTTCCAAAATGGAAATGTATAGTGCACTTTATAAGACAGGGGACATCTAATGGATGCAACTTAACTCTTCACTACTCCTTAGTTTTCTCGTAAACAAGCAAGATTCAAGACAACCCAGAACACCTGGGAATATTTGGAAATATCCATAAATAGGCAAAAATGAAAAAAAAAAACAAAAAAACAAAATACAATTCAGTCTTTTAAAATGAGAATGTTTTCTTCCTTTATGTGATGGGAACCTCTTCTAAGCAAGCTCAGACTATTTAATGAAAAGTGCAACAAATAAGAATTAGTCAAATAGGCCTCAACTACCTACTATCACTTAAGAGTTAGCTCCTGTAAAAGCACAGAAATGCTTAACTGAGCGTCTAGTGTCCCTCTGATACTCTAACTACAGACAAGAACCTATCTTAAGTCACTGACAAAGAAGTATCTAAAAATAGAAATAAAGTGAACTTCTGCACCTTATAACTCAAAAATGTTTAAAGCACAATGATTATCAGCAACTACATGCACACACAAACACACATAAATAAGAATATGCACTTGTCATTCTAGAGTGTGTGTGCATGCATTAGAGAGAAAGAGAGAGAGAGAGAGAGAGAGAGATCGATCGATCATCTGGGCTTTTTTTTTTCTTTTCTTTTTTCTTAATTCTAATACTCAGCTGGGCATGGTGGCAAACACCTGTAATCCCAGCACTCAGGGAGGCAGAGGCAAGCAGATTGCTGTGAGCTCGAGGCCAGCCTGGTGTACAGAGTCCAGGACAGCCAAGGCAATACAGAGAAACCTTATTTCAAAAAACAAAAGAAAACAAAAAATCCTAATACACATCTTTCTCTGTCCTCCACTAATCCTCACAAATTAAACCACAGTTAGGGATGAGGGATCTTGTGCACTTTTGAAAAAGAATTCTACACTTTATTTCAACTAGTCAAAACAGGTGCTTTAAAACAAGGTGACATCCAAAGAAAATTTGAGGGGTAAAGACTTGTGAGAGGGGAGGAGAGTGGAGAGATGGCTCAGCAGCTAAGAACAGTTGTTACTCTTTACAAAGGACCCAGGCTTGGCTCCCAGCACCAGCCTGGTGCTCACACTATCCTTAACTTGAGTTCCAGAGGATCTAACACTGTTTAAACTCTGCAGGCAGCAGTCATGCATATGATACATACACATTCATGCAGGCAAAACACTCATACACATACAACAAATACATTTTAAAGTAAAAACAATAAAAAACATATTTAAAAGAATTAAAAAAGCAGCACTCAGAAGGCAGAGGCAGACTGATCTCTGAGCTTGAGACCAGCCTGGTCTACGGAATGAGTTCCAGGACAGCCAGGGCTATACAGAGGAACCCTGTCTCAACCCCCACCCCCTCCAAAAAAAATTAGGAAGAATGAGTTGGGCAGAGTAAAGGAGATAATGGGTTTATCTAAAGAACATATGTAAGAAGAAGGGTTATTTCAAGAACTGAGTGACCTGGATATGGGGGTACAGCAAAGAGAAGACTATTAGATTTATAAGCTAGGCAGCTAAGTGGCAAGAAGACTTGGCCATAGCTGAAAGAAAATTAAGACCTGAAAGGAGAAGTTTTCAGCTTACAGAAGAGGTGTGGCAACTTCCTTTACAGCCTTGGGGTCACATGGGACTAGAAAAGGACTTTAGACACACAGATGCCAAGAGGTGTTTGGACTTTTTAAACAGGCTGAAGCACCTGTGTGCTGCACGGTCTCTACTCCAGTCATCACCAGGGAAGCTGATGGTGCAGGTAGAGTGCTGTATCCAGGAAGAACTGGCAGTTCGCCTATCACTCACTATGTATGTATGTTACTTGCACGGAAGGTTCTTTCAGCCTTGTATTTTCTTACCCTTAAAATGAAGACAATTTGTCTCACTTGTGAGAATTAAATGTGACAGTCTTTCAAACACCCTATACAATATGCAATGCTCAGCCATGTACTTGATAATGTCAATGTCCTCCCATAAAAATATTCATGTTCCGCAATACACACATTCTTCATTTTATAAAGAAAATACTAATTTTCCATTAACATCCCCACCTTGTGGCCTTTTAAGGTACTGTTGACAAAAAGACATATTTTTTTTTGTTTTAAATTATTCATTCATTCATTTATTCAGAGAGAGACACACAGAGAGAGTTCTTGCAGTAGCAAGTTCTCCTGCCATTCCTCCATATGGATACTAGGAATTGAACTCAGGCCCTTAGGCATGCAGGCAGAGATCTCAGCCTGCTGAGCCATCTTGCTGGTCCCAACAAAAGAAGTTTTAAAATTATGTTGTACTCTTGCAAATATATATATATACATATATATATTGCTCTCATATCATGGGAAATCCTCAGGTGCCTTATAAAGTTTAAACTGGCTGAACTAAAGTGAAAAGAGATTGCTCATCTGTGACAGAGAAGAGCTAAAATTTATCAAAGTAGTATTTAAGATACTATTATTCAACTTAAAAGCAAAGGAAACATTCTAGTAAAAGTCACAAACTTTTGTCAACCTGGTGGCCAAAGTCTGTAATTTCAGCAAGGAAGCTGAAGAAGGAGGGTTTCAAGTTTAAGATCTGCCTGGTGAACTCAGCAAGACCCTGCCTCAAACAGAGTTTTAGAAAGGTTGGTAGTGTAGCTCAGTGGTAGAGCTCCTGCCTGGTATGCATGAGGGTCAGGGCTCAATCCCTAGGACTGAAAAAATAAAAATAAAAAAGATACAAAGAAATGATGAATTTCATAGAAACAAGTAAAAACAAAGTATTTCCCAAAAATATCTCCTGAAAAGTATTGATGACATTTTTATATTAATCTGTAATCAACTTTAATACTTAGTGGCCAATCAAATTCCAACAAAGCAACCATGTTCCTGATTTATATAACTGAGAAATACTCCACTGAATTATTATAATTTAAGTGGTAATAATGCATCTTAGTAAAATAAAATTACCAATTTGGTGTGCTAGAATAATGTCAGGGAGTTTTCCTTAAACACCTGGCATGACAAGTTGTCCTCTGTCACCTTTAACATACTGGTGGGTCATGTCATGTTAGACCAGTGTTCACGAGGCTGGGCAATCAATCTTCAATTTGCTCATTTGATGACTGACTTCTAACTAAATCCAGCCAGCCTTCAGCTCTAGAGAAAGAAGCACTAATCACTCAATAATTCCTCTTTATTCAAAACCTCTGTGATTGTCAAAGTTACAGCAATAATTTATATATTCATGTCATCTGTATATGTGTGTATGCTCTAAAGACATAACAGGCCATATTCTACATTAGGCAGCATTTCAAACAGGAAACAAAACACACTGGCTGGACACAAAAACCCAGATGTATCAATAGATTCCTCTACTCCAGTGACACTTTAGATATGAGAGATGGACAGATGGTGTGGACAGATAATCACTCTGGCTCAACAATTACATACGTACACCCTTGCAGGCATACTCATATGCACATATGAAGAATGTCCTGTGAATCCACTGGAACTCTGAGATAATGAGTGGCTGTGAGGCCAACTTCACTTTGCTCCAAATGTATTTTATTTTAGAAGACCACCCGTGGACAGTTTTTATAACTTCCAGGTTCTGATGAGGTATGCAGGCTACATATGTAGACGGTAAGAGCCACTCAGCTGCAGTCTAGCAGCAATTCCTCTGTAACACTGTAGTCTACAAAATGGTATTGAAGTTACTGGCCCCTTTTGGAATTACTGCTGAAGTGTGAAACCAAAATGCAGGAAGCTAGCACCTTTGGCCACTATTCCTCTCTCTCCTGAGTATGAATATAAAGGCAGCTTGTATTGTAATGGCAAGGATTACAGGCATGTGGCCCCATGCCCACCCAACAAACATTTTCTGTAAAAGAAAAGAGAGCAGAAGCCTCAGCTTTTGTGGGCTATATAATCTCTGTGTCACAACTACTCAACACTGCTATTGTAGCTTAAAAGTTGCAGATAATGTGTACACAAATGAAAATACCCTGTGTTCTAATAAAAAAAAAACAAAAAAACCCAAATTTGTTTACAAAAGCAAGAGCCATATCTGTCCACAGGCTGTAGTCTGATAGCTGTGAGCCACACAGAACCATGACAATCATTTAAACAAATGAGTATCTAGGAACTTACTGCTTAATTTTATCATTTCTAGGTCCGAATCTTGGTCCAGATGGTCCTCGTCTGAAAATAAAACACACAGTATACATTAGTGATGACAATATTACACAAATATGAAAATAAGAAACATATCTATGTGTGCAATCAAGCTGGATTATAAATATGGATCATCATTAACCATACAGAGCTGCACTTTACAGGTGTTGGTAAAACTGAATGGTACATAATTACGTATTTACTTAATGTTATATACCACTGGCCATAACTAATACTTAAAGTGTTAAAACTTTCTGAGAAGGTACAGATTACATAATACTAATCTTTTTGTTTGGTTGGTTTTGGTTTTGGTTTTTCCAGACAGGGCTTCTCAATGTAGCCTTGGCTGTGCTGGAACTTGTTCTGTAGGCCAGGGTGGCCTGGAACTCACATAGATCCCTCAGCCTCTGCCTACTGAGTGCTAGGATCAAGGGCATTCAAAACTCTGTCTCAAAAACAAACAAACAAAAAACCAAACCAAACCAAACATTTGAACTATGCATTAACTACAGAAAATTATCTCCCCACTTCATCTCACACTTCCACCCAAATGAGTCTATTCCCAGTCTTGGATTAAACTTCTAGATTATCAACAATCTCTGTGGGTTTCACTTTTATTTAATTTTAAGTTTTAAATTTTAAAGTAGCTGCTGGAACTACAGATGTTGTTACCACACTCAGTTTCAATGAATTTTCGAAAAAAAAAAAAATTTTTATTAACAACAAACAGATAAAGGAAGAAAGGAAGGAAGGATGAAAGAAAGAAAGAGACAAACAAAAAGACAGAAACAAACAAACAAACCAGGAGACTTCAAGGGAACAGAGGTTGGTAGTGGATGGGACGATGTCCACCTCAGTGTTGTGAGATACACATCTTGGTGCGAGAGGACAGAACTATGGTCTGTAACTAGCAGCTCCTGAGTAGGAAGGGGTACACTGAGCTCTCTCCTATCAGCACCACAGCACTGATACTAGCCCTGGATCGGGTCCTCAGACAGGCTAAGAAGGGGTTTCTTCTGTTGACCTGAGGAGGTGCCTGGCTGCTCCCTCAGCAGCTTTCTCCTGGAGCTGGCAGGGAGGAGCCCGCTGAGTAATGAGGCCTTAGTTACCGTGGAACTCTCCACAAGCGGGGTTAGGATACCTTCGTCAGGGACCATACTGAGACACCAAAGACAACGCTTGGTGTCTTGTTGGTTCACAGGCTTGGCCCTTTAGCTGTGTCCCCAGGGCATCTGGGGACCATACTAGTCAGCCTGGATGACCTGGATACACTACCTGTGGAGAAGATTTGAATCTGGATGTATGGAATGTCCATCACAACTTATAGTCTGGAGCGACAGCTGGTGCCTGTTCACTACAGACCTCAAGTGAGACTCAGTGAAGAACCATCCAGGGACCAGGATGAAGCATCCTTTTAAAGTAGCAGTGAAACTCAAGTGAACAACTGGATGAATTCCAAATTATCCTCTTTCAGGAGATCCTACAGATGGCAAATGTATCTTCTGCAGCACATGTCTCTACATCCCCCCAGCCAGAAGACACGTAGACATTACAGACACATACCCAGACCTGCATGAGCAGTCAATCTGATAGAACCAACTCAAGGTACCAAGGTAACTCATTGGGAAAGAATAATTTTTTAATTAAATGGTTATAGAATGATCAGGTTGCCATATGCCAGAAAAAAAAAAATAGTTCATCCTTACTTCAGCAACATACAAAATCTAACTTAAAAGGTCTAAACTAGAAAGCTCCTATAAGACAACATAAATTAAACCTGCTACAGTGACATTATTTCTTCAATATAGTAGTCCTAAGAAATAATGAGGAAATGGAGAGCGAGAAGAAAAGAGAGGGAAAGAGTGAGAAAGAGAAACAGACAGAGTGACAGACAAACAGATACATGGTAGCACACATCTATAATCCAGGCATTTGGGAGACAGAGCCCACCCTGGGCTACAGAGTGAGACCCTGTTAGAAGGATGGATGGGAGGGAAGATACGCTAAAAAAAAAAAATGATTTCAATTAAATCAAAGCTTTAGTGGTGGTGTGGCTCTCTGGAAGATAGATATGAATGTGCACCAACCTTCACACATAGGGATTTGCCCATTAAGGCATGTATCCTCATAAACACCTGCACACATGTTTACAGCAGGTTTATGTTTTAGCAAAAAACTAGAAACCACCAAGACATTCACACACAAGTGAATGGGTAAATGAGGAGCAGTGTACTCATACAATGGAATAGCACTTAGAGAAATGACCTACGGAGCCATAGATGGATCTCAAAATAAGCAGGTTAAGCAAATAAAAGCCAGTTTAAAAAAAAAAAAAGGTGTGTGTAGGGGGCCTTTTGGCTTCATTTATATAAAACTCTAGAAAACAGAACCTGTAAGAACAGAAAGCAGTCTAGCCTAGGAGAACAACAGCTTACAAAGGGTTGCAAAGAAAATTCCAGGATAAAGTTGTGTTTGTTCTTTATTTTCATGATACTATAGAGCTTTATTTTAGCACATGTCAAAATTTACATGAATACTTTAGCTATATGTGCTTTCTTGTATGTTAATTACAACCTGAAAAAAATTAACTTACAGGGCTGGAGAGATGGCTCAGAGGTTAAGAGCACTGTCTGTTCTTCCAGAGGACCTGAGTTCAATTCCCAGCAACCACATGGTGGCCCACAACCATCTGTAATGAGATCTGGTGCCCTCTTCTGGCATGCAGGTGTACATGCAGACAGAACATTGTGTACATAAAAAATATATAATAATAAATCTTTAAAAAAAATAACTTACAGAAAAAAGTCCTCCTCTTCATCTGAATCATCTTCCAAAAGATTTCTCTGTTAAGAAATGAAAAGGACTTGAGTTTTCAGATACAGAGGAATTACAGAATGTCAGAGAAGAGCAAAGAAATAAGTTCTATGCTGCTGACATTTTTTAAAACAATTTCTCCCTAACATAATATAAAATTAGATTTATGGCATACAAACTCTGTGGTAGTTTGCTTCTTCAGAAATGGGAAGTGAACCCATGCATCTTTTCTGAGGCCAGTGCTCCAGGAATTAGACCAGCCAAGCAGAAGAAGTCTTCAGCTATAGATGGAAACAATCAAAGAATCTAATAAAATGTATAAGTTATACAAATTTACATTCCCACCAGCAATAGAGGAGGGTTCCCCTTTCTCCACATCCTCTCCAGCATGTGTTGTCACTTGAGTTTTTTGATCTTAGCCATTCTGATGGGTGTAAGGTGAAATCTCAGGGTCGTTTTAATTTGCATTTCCCTGATGACTAAGGATGCTGAGCATTTCTTTAAGTGTTTCTCTGCCATTCAATATTCCTCTATTGAGAATTCTCTGTTTAGCTCTGTACCCCATTTTTTAATTGGATTACTTGATTTATTGCTGTTTAACTTCTTGAGTTCTTTATATATTCTGGATATTAGCCCTCTGTCAGATATAGGGTTGGTGAAGATCCTTTCCCAATCTATAGGCAGTCCTTTTATTCTGACACCAGTGTCCTTTGCTTTACAGAAGCTTTTCAGTTTCATGAGGTCCCATTTATTGATTGTTACTCTTAGAGCCTGTGCTGTTAGTGTTCTGTTCAGGAAGTTGTCTCCTGTGCCAGTGAGTTCAAGGCGCTTCCCCACTTTTTCTTCTAACAGGTTTAGTGTGTCTGCTTTTATATTGAGGTCTTTGATCCGCTTGGACTTTAATTTCGTGCAGGGTGATAACCACTCTGGAAATAAATCTGGTGCTTTCTCAGACAATTAGGAATAGCACTTCCTCAAGATCCAGCTATACCACTCCTAGGCATATAGCCAAAATATGCTCAAGTACACAACAAGGACATTTGCTCAACCATGTTTGTAGCAGCTTTATTTGTAATAGCCAGAAGCCAGAAACAACCCAGATGCCCCTCAACTGAGGAATAGATACAGAAATTGTGGTACATCTACACAATGGAATATTACTCAGCAATAAAAAACAAGAAATCAGAAATTTGCAGGTAATTGGTGGGAACTGGAAAAGATCATCCTGAGTGAATTATGCCAGATGCAGAAAGACACACAGGGTATATACTCACTCATAGGTGGACATTAGACATATAATATAGGCTAAACATACTAAGATCTGTACACCCAAGGAAACTAATCAAGAAGGAGGACTCTGGCTAAGATGCTCAATCCCCATTCAGAAAGGCAAACAGGATGAACATCAGAAGAGGGAGAAAACAGGGAACAGGACAGGAGCCTACCACAGAGGGCCTCTGAAAGGCTCTACTCTGCAGAATATCAAAGCAGATGCTGAGACTTATGGCCAACCTTTGGGCAAAGTGCAGGGAATCTTATGAAAGAAGTGGGAAACAGTAAGACTTGGAGAGGACAGGAGCTCCACAAGGAGAGCAACAGAACCAAAAAATCTGAGCACAGGGGTCTTTCCTGAGACTGATACTCCAACCAAGGACCATTCATGGAGATAACCTAGAACCCCTGCACAGATGTAGCCGATGGCAGTTCAGAGTCCAAGTGGGTTCCATAGTAATGGGAACAGGGACTGTCTCTGACATGAACTGATTGGTCTGCTCTTTGATCACCTCCCCCTGAGTGGGAAGCAGCATTACCAGGACACAGAGGAAGACAATGCAGCCACTCCTGATGAGACCTGCTAGACTAGGATCAGAAAGAAGGGGAGGAAGCCCTCCCCTATCAGTGGACTTGGGGAGGAACAGAGGTTGAGAAGGGGTAGAGAGTGTGGGGTTGGGAGGGGAGGAGGAAGGGAGCTACAGCGGGGCTACAAAGTGAATAAATTGTAATTTGTAAAAATTAAAACAAAGTATAATCAAATGTGGATGTTTGATGGGGGCTGGGGAGGAGGCTCAGTATGGAAAATACTTGCTGCACAGGCATGAGGGCCTGAGTTTGGATCTCCAGATGAAAAGCCGGGTATAGCATCATGCACTTGTGCCCAGTGCTATGGTACAGAAAGAGGACCATCCTTGCCAGCACACCTATCTAGTCAGCAAGTTCCAGGGTAAACGAGAGACCCTGTCTCAAAAACAAGGTGGAGAGCAACAGAGGAAGAGACCCAATGTTGACTTCTCATCTTCACACTCACACACATAGGTGAGCACACCTGCACACACACATACACCATACTTACACACATACACACACACACACACACACACACACACACACACACACACAGGAAAAATAAATAATAACGTCATTGGGAACAATGAGTTAATAAAAAGTAAAACATAAAAGAAATCTTTACAAGAACTCAGAGGCTGAGCATGGGAGTGTGAGGTGAGGAAGTAAAAGTGTACTAATATGCTCATCTTGGTGAAGAGTGAAGGCAGGAAGGGGAAGAAAAAAGTAAACTAGCAAAGGTGGATAATTTTTGATGTGTTAACAGAGATTTAAATATCACTGTTAAAGATTTAGTTAATATTTTAAAACAGGGAGAAGAAGAGAGAGAATAAATTCACTGAAGTGCCTCGTAGTCCTAGTGAAAGGTAAAGGAGTTGGCAAAAGTATGAGGGCAAGTAAGAGAAGTGCGTATATGTGTGATTGCTGTTTACCTATGTAAAATAATTAATATGTAAATACACTAAAGAGTGAAGAAGAAAGGCTCTATGAAGTGTTCATGAACAAACACTCGTTAGTACTGAGCATTTAACACGTCCTAGGCATTGGTGTGAACACCAAGCAGGAGCTGTGACATGGTCTTCACTCTCAAAGAAAAACGTGATCCTGAGAAAAATGCCATGCAGAAAATTCAAATAGTGATGGGGCAGAAAGTGACAGGTGGCTATATGAAATTTAGGCTGTCAGGGAAAATCATTCTGAAGAGATGAAATTTAAGGTGAAGTTCGAATGATAATAATGAGTAAGCCAAAAATCTGGAACACGGCATTCACTGCCCACAGCAGAATGGCTGGCACAGAAAAAGTCCAATGGCATTACTTATCATAATTAAGTCAGTCACCCTACTAAAAACAAAATCCTGTATGACTGGAGTTCCACAAAGTCTAGCCAGTATTTTTTTTTCAAGATATTCACCTAATATAAATGTGAAATAAAGAATACAGTGGTGTGTGGAGTAAGTTCAAACATGAAGAATATTAGTAATCTAAAGACAAATTTTAAAGTATTGAAATAAATATCCAATAAGACTTTTTGTGAGACAATTATAAAATGCACCATCTACCAAGAAGACTTAACAACAAAAGACTTAACAATGGTCAGTATTCAAATACTGCCGATATAATTTCAAATATACACAGCAACGGTCACATCAACTTACAAGCCAAGTGAGTTACATCCCAAGAACTGGAGATACAAAGTTTATCCCAGTTGCCCACTGAGAAAAACCACATGAGACCAATATTCACTGACACTCATGTTAAGGAACGTATACCAGCATACCATTCTCACCCAGCAGGAAGAGTGTAAGTGTGCTGAGGATCTGCCTACACACCACTGCTGAGAATTTAAAGCTGTCCACCCACTCTGCAAAACAAGTCTGAGACCTCTCAAAAGGTTAAGCAAAGTTACTATAATACCTAGTAATTTTGCTTCTAGATATATACCCAAAAAAGTGAAAACAGGGCTGGAGAGATGGCTCGGACATTAAAGGGTAGGCCTGCAACCAAAAGTATAAGAACAAAAACATAATGTTTAAACCAAATGTGTATGCTAATACTCATTCAGCAGTATTCAAAACAGCTAAATCATGGGGGTGGAGTGGGGACAAGAGTCCCAAGACGTCCATCAACTAATGAACAGATAACTAAATGAGGTACAGCCACACGGTAGTATTCAGCATTAAAAAGAACACAAAGGGTCTGGTTAGATGGCACAGAGGTTAAGAACTCTTCCAGAAGAGCTAGGATCAATTCCCAGCCCTGCATGGTGGCTCATAATCAACTGCAACTCCTGTCTCTGGGGATCTAAAGTCCTCTTTCGATCTTCTCGGGCGCTGTACACACATGGTGCGCAGACATACATGTAGGTAAATCACCCACATACATAAAGTGCAAGAGATATTTAGAACAAAGGAATATAAAGTACTAATACCACAATATTCACAAATTTTGAAAATACTGAGTACAGAAGCCAATCACAATAAGATACATATGACTTCATTTACATAAAATGTTCAGAGTAAGGCAAACTGTAGAGTTTTAGTTGACTGTGGCTGAAGGAATGAAGGGACTGTGGATGACTGGTTGAGAGGACAGGGCTTCCTTCAGGGATATTAACATGTCCTAAAACTGACTGTGCCAGTGGTTGCCCAGCTCTGTGAAAACAGCAAAATCCACTGAATTGTATACATCTACTTTAAATGGCCATAAGACCTGAAAATATTGTCCTGATCTTCCCCCACTCTGCTTCCTAGGAACTGATCATAAAAATATTCTCTGACCTACCCTGTTTGATGATAGGTCTTAAGACCCCCCATTCCAGAAGGTTTCTGTCCCGTATCAGGCAAAAAGGAGCACAGAGGCCAAGAAGTTCGGGGAAAGCTTCTCCTCCTCCTCTATGTTGTTAAATCACACTCTTGTGTCCAATCATATTTCTACATCATAGTCCATGCTTCATTAAATTGCAGCATTAAACGTGCCAATTTACCCTCCTTTTGTGGTCTTCAATCTAAAGGCTCGGACGTCACATAAAATAAAACCATAATCTAATAAATATGCTCTGTTTTTCCTTTGTTAACCTTTCTTTTATCATGGGCCATCAGGTGTGGCCCTTTAGGGTGAACAGGAAAAGAATTGCCCCCTTTTTCGTTCCATGGATTTCAGGCAGCCTTCTATCATTTATAGGGAATGAAACATACATTGAATTTCTATAAAGCTTAAGATTCTAAACTTACCCTCTCACTTTTCACAGACCCAGTGACATCATCATCATTTAGGTGGCGCTTGAACTTGGGAGGCATTCTTTCCGAACACAAATACTCTTCTATTTTTCAACAGAATAAGTATTCACCACCTTAAGGAGAAAACCAAATTCCATCATATGAGAAACTTTGGGGTATAGGCTAACATGCTCAACCCTGTACCGGGCCCTCTTCACTCCTAACTTTACTTACTCTTGTTCCATTCCACTGACTACAAGTTTACGTGCTAAGGAACAGTTAAAACCATAATTAAAATGAATGATATTCCCCTAAGGAAACATGTAGAGAAAATGGGTAAATTTGGGATTTTGTAACATAAAAAAAACAAAAACAATACTTTCAAAGAGGGAGAGAATGGAAATAGTCCCTAAACACTTAAGGGACTATCTGTGATTTTTAACCTGCAGTCAGAAAACAAGTGGCGTACTTCTAGTCACTGCACTTTTAATTAGCTGCTTAAGCAATGACTCAGTTCCTCATCTGTAAAATGGCGATTTCCAGGGTTCTGCAGGAAGTTGGGTGGTCACAGGAGAACCCGTGCAAAAACACTCATAAACTATGGTCCTTCGGTGCTCCGTAAGAATGGCTGGTTTGTAAGTACCAGTGTGACAATCTGGTAATAACAATTCTCTATTTATATAATATGTGTATCTGTTGACTTACAAAGCTCATATATGCACACAAATATTATACAAATGTATTACAAATGTATGTATATACATGTTCTCTCTCTACCTTCCTTTTTTCCTGAGATGTAGATCCTACAAGCCCATACCCATGAAGCATAAATGTGATTTTATGCTAATGAGAATGTCAAGTCTGGCAGTCTATAAGCAGCTTCAGAATGGAGGCTATCACTGAAGACACCAAGTCAGAATTAAAAGGTTGAGCTACTTCAGTCCACACCATCCCAACCTCTGGAGAAGGTAGAGAGGCAACAACCGAAGTGATTCCCTAACAGCTGCTGTTGTTTCTAGTTCCAAAAATGAAGCTTCCATAAAAATCCAAGAGGTCAGGACCCCAGAGGGCTTTGAGGTATGAGCACATGGACTTTCCTAGATAGTGGACAACGGAAGGGCCAGGAGCACTCTGGGCTCCTGTACTTTTTCATCTATCCTATCTGATAATTCATCTGCACCCTTCACAGAAGCCTTTATAATAAATTGAAAAACTTAAGTAAAGTGTCTCCCTGAATTCTGTGAGCCACTCAAGCAAATCAATTGAAACCAATAAAGGTACTGCGGTCATCTCAGTTAATAGCCAAATAAGGTATAAGAACTTGGGGCTTGTCTGCTGGAGATTCTCTCGCAAAATTGCTTGCTTTTTGAGGGAACATGACCTTCTCACATTCTGAGTTCACAGACATTTTTTCAGAGAAAACAGGCTTTTTCATATATAAAAACAAAAAGGCTAAATAAAGCTGGTTTTCTTTGCTCACGGCCTATAATATGCTAATGTACATTCTGATTTTCCAGGAAATACTTGAGTATGCAACATAACCAAATTTTTCTAAAGAAGTAGCTGTTATGCAAATATAACTTCCCAATATTTTGGAGCAGGTGATGGCTAACTAAAAGCCAACAATGTTTATCATGTGCTGAACACATATATGCATCTTCAGCAACACAGAAGCATTCTTAACAGTGTTACACATGCATTGTCTTTATTCTTGACACTACTTTTAAGTAGACATTAAGAAAATTTGGTATAATGAATAACTAACAATGTTATGTCACAGTCCTCAGACAAATAAGTGGCTGTGCATTATCAGTTTTAATATTTATTCAGTTGTCCTCATGTTAAACAACTGTTTAAAAACAACATACTTTCTTATAGCAACTTCCAACACCTTGAAGATCTTTAAATAATTATTAGATATTAGTTTATTGATAAATGTTAAACACTAAGAGAAACTGGAATCAAACCAGCAACATCACCACTCATAATAGAAACTACTATTCATCCATGCCCATTTTATTCCTTATATCTTAATTTCAGAATAATTCTCATGCAAAAATGTTGCACTGAAAAAAAAGTTGACATAGCAAGAACTGAAGAAAATGAGCTTTTAGTTATACCTGGGCTTTATATTTTAAACTCAACAGCCCCCCCACTCCCCCCCAAAAAAAAACTGATTTATAAGAACAGGTTCTCCAATTGATCTTAGCCAACAGGGAAAGGGGGAATCAAACAAACTTACATAACACTAAACCTTAAAGAGGAGTAAACCTCCCATTCAAGTTCTAAAATCCAAGTTATCAGTTTGAGAAACAAAACAAACTCGGGCCAGGCAAACAATCCATCAAACAAAAAAGACACCAGCAAAACAGCAGACAAATAAATTAGCTACTCCTGATGAACTACCCGCAACTAAAGATATCTGTAGCAAAAACAAAACAAAGAAACAAACCATCGGAAATAAACTGTGCTCAGAACTTAGGGCTGACTACGTTCTGCCTACAGTTCTTCCTACAAAAATATCTCTTGTCAGTTGAAGTATCTACATAGCAAGTAAGAGCCATCGTGACGTTTTCCATGTCGAGGACACTACACGGTTCTCTCAAGTGTCAACAGCGCAAGACTCCTACGTGTACTTAAATCACTCGTTTAAATCTCTCGTCCGCATCTTCTGTAGTACGTTCTCTAGTCGGTGGCTTTACGCGAAACAGACTTGTAACCTGTTGTTTTATGCTGGCTTTTCTACTTTACAGAACAAGCTCTGTGCGTTTCACTTCACTAAAAGCTCGAATCTGGCTACGCTTTCCTTTCCTCAACCTCCATTCCTGTTCCGGTTCTTCTTCCTCGTCTCTCCTCTGCAGTCTTGGCTGGTGACAGTTCCACGCCAAATCCTGACTGGAAATCGTACTCTCAAAACCTGTTACGTCTAAGGATTGGCCTCCACGCCGGGGTCATTCTAATTCTAAGCACAGCGGGGATGCGCGCTTTCTCCGAACCCCGGAGGAAGGACCTCAGGCAGCCTCCCCGGTGGTTGCTCCGCTCTCTGCCCCCGCCTCCTCACCAGGCCCCGCACCCCGACATCGCCTCGGATCTCTAGCCCCCGACTCCCCGTGCAGGTCCCCCTCGGAACAGCTCTTCCCCCTGGAGGGCAACTTGATCCCAAAGCTCCTCGGCCGCCCCAGCCGCACCCCAGCCCTCGAGCCCCTTCCTCACGGCACCCCGGAGCCCAGGCTTTCCCCACTCGCGCCCCGGTCCACGCGCAGGCCAGCTCCCAGCCCCGGCGGACGTTGGGGCCGGCGGGCAGGGGCGTCGCCGGGCTTCGTTCCCCGGCCGACGCGCCGGGGCCAGGATACCTGCGGCTCGGAAGGAGCTCCCGGCAGCAGTCCCCGCCGGCTGCGCTGGGCGGGCGGGGGAGGGAGCGGGAAGCAGAGGAAGGAGGCTGGGAGGGGGAAAACGGAGGGCGCAGACCCGCCACCGCTCCGCTCTGCTGCAGCGCCCCCGCTCATCGAGCGACTCGGCGCTCCGCCGCCTGGCGCTGGGCGGAGCCGGGCGGGCTCAGGCCGCGGAGATCGAGCCTCTCGGCGCTCCGAGGCCTGGAGAGGGCGCGTGGGGGCGGGCCCAGGCGACGGCGATCGAGCCGCTCGGCGCTCCGCGTCTGGTCGCCGGGCGCAGGCCCCCAGTTCAGGCAGTGGGGATGCCGGGCCAGTCGGTCGCTCAGGCGGTTCTCTAATTTAGGAGACTCCGTAGAAGCCGAGGGGGCTGAGTAGAAGGGGAAATGTCCGCTTCCTTCAGTTGTAAGTCTAAGACGGCAGGACCCACACCGCGGCCCTGCCCGTGCTCTGCTTGGCCCATTCACTTAAACCTTCAAGTCTGGTGTCGCTAGACTTATCCGTAAAACGAAAAGTTTTGTTTTCATTTTCTTTTATTCCGTTCCCTACTGTCTTTTAAATTTAATGGTTATGAGCCCCTTGCCGACAGTGTTTTTAACTGTGAGGAAATAGGTTGCCAGGTGTTTCATAGACACAGAAAAGTAAGAAAGGATGTTCCGGAACAGGACGACAAACAGGAGGAGGAAATTTCCAGGGGAAACGCCACTGTCAGCTGCTGTAGTGTCGGGTTGATGTTGGGTACACCCCTTGAGCATCCGCCCCTGCACAGCTTGGTTGACTGGGACTGAGCTGGCCTGCCCAGAATGGAAGTATCTTAGTCTGTGTCTCTGTCAGGGCTCCGTGGTGACATTACCACAAGTCCTTAGGCGGCTCAGAAGTGTTGTGGTTTTTTTTTTGTTTGTTTGTTTTGTTTTGTTTTTTTCTCTTTTGATGGTCTATATGTATGCCACGTGTGTGCCTGGTGCTCTTGAAGGTCAGATGAGGGCGTCATAACACCTAGACTGTAGTTAGACTGTCGAAAGCTGCCGTGTGGGTGCTAGGGATTGAACCTGGGGCCTCTGCAAGAACCGTAAGTGCTTTTGCCCACTGAGCCATCTCTCCAGCCCCTTCAGTTGATTTTTTTATCTGTATATTTGCTTACTAGGTGGATTTTCCTTGCTTAATTTTTTTTTTTTTTTTTTTAGCCAGTTAATGCCCTGTCTGTTGACAGAATAAAGAAATATGATCATAAGGCTACAATAGACATTTCACTCTTTAGCTTTAATGAATAATTAGGCCAGGAGCATATTCCCCCTCACTCTGTCTTTCCTTCCCTCCCCTCCCATTTCTTTTCTCTTCTCTTCTCTTCCCCTCCCCTCCCCTCTTGTCTTCTCTTTCCTTTTTCCAGACAAGATTTCTCTGTGTAGCCCTGGCTGTCCTGGAACTCTATTTGTAGGACAGTCTGGCCTCGAACTCATAGAGATCTGCCTGCCTCTGCATTCCGAGTGCTGGGATCAAAGGTGTGGTGGGCATCCCCACTCTTCTTTAATGATGTGAAAAAGTCCTTTTGACTATCACTAACATTTGTGAAAATGTAGGAAATGTGATTTTTTTATAGTCAATGTGAGTCAGTCTTGCTCAATGTTCTCTTGCTGTGAAGAGACACAGCGACCACAGCAACTTTTACAACGGGAAGCACTTAATTGGGGCTGGCTTACATATTCAGAGATTTAATCCATTATCAGCATGGTGGGAGACATGGCAGCATGCAGGTGGACAGGGTGCTGAGAGGAGCTGAGAGTTCTACGTCTAGATTTGCAGGTCAAGAGCGACACTGAGCCTGGCGTGAGCGTTTGAAACAAAGCCCATCTCCAGTAACACACTTTCTCCCACAAGGCCAACTTATTCCAACAAGAGCACACTTCCTAATCCTTGTCAAGTAGTACCACTTCCTAATGGCGAAGCATTCAAATCTGTGAGCTTATGGGGTCATTCTTCTTCAAACCCCCACGGTCACATAAACCAGTAAGCATGGGAAATTGTAAATAGCTCTGTTATAGGCACTCAGAAACTGTTTTTATTGAAAAGCATTGATCATTGATTCCTTGCTTGGGCCCACAGGTGAATAAAAGTAGTATGAAAGCTTGGCATTGCTGCCTTCATTTTGTGTCTGTCTTTTTTACTTTGGATCAAAATCCCACTAGACTCTGCATACACATGTTAACCACCCAGGTAGTATCTTTCGCCTAGATCAGGGGTTCTCAACCTGTGGGTCTCAACCTCTTTAGGGAGATGGTCGAACAACCCTTTCACAGGGGTTACCTAAGACCATCGGAAAACATAGATACATTATGATTCATAACAGTAACAACATTACAGTTAAGAAGTAGCAATGAAATAATTTTATGGGAGGGGTGTCACCACGACATAAGGAACTGTATTAAAGGGTTGCAGTCTTAGGAAGGTTGAGAACCACTGAGCTAGACTTATCTCATCCTCTTCAAATTTCAAGGCACAGCTCAAGTCACTGTCCTGAACCTTGTCACCTTTCATTTCTAGTTCAGTGTATCCTTTCAGGACAGGCTATTCTAATAATTTTCCACAGTGTTGAAGTTGTGTCTGGGTTAGTAATTATCTAAGAATAATCAGTTTGTTCCCACAAGCAGTAAATTCTCTGGACCACCACATTTCAGTGTCAGAACTGGGAAGGATCAACTGAAATAACCTTTGATGAGCTGTCTTAGTTGGAGTTTCCTGTGCTGTGACAAAACACCATGACCAAAGGGTTTATTTGGCTTACTTCCACAGCACTGTTTATCATTAAAGAAAGTCAGGACAGGAACTCAAACGAGGCAGGAGCTGATGTAGAGACCATGGAGGGTGCTGCTTACTGGTTTGCTTCTCATGGCTTGCTCTACCTGCTTTCTTACAGAACCCAGGACCACCAGCCCACGGATGTTCTACTCACAATGGGCTGGATCCCTCATCAATCACTAATTAAGAAAATGCCTTCCAGCATTTCTCAACTGAGGCGTTTTCTCAACCGAGGTTCCCTCCTTTCACGTAACTAGCTTGTGTCAGGTTGACAAGACTAGCCAGCACACAAGGATAAATCAAGTGAATGGTTTTGATTATGTATCTCTTGCCCCCAATTCATCCTATGTCTAAACTTCAAAGTTCGTGACAGTACCCTGAAGACAAACTTGGGGTTGCTGAACCATATTGCTTTTTATCAAAACATTGATTAAATGTCCTCTCTGCTTTTTACCTGTCTAATGAGGCTATTGGTGTAGGAGGCCTTCCTTATAGGAGTCATTAGATCTACATACAGCCTTTGTGCTAACTCTCCAGTGAAAGCACTGATCTAGGAGCCAGAATTTCAACCAATTTGAGTTATTTCCTTCATTTTGTTTTTTTTGCAAGCAACAGTTATTCCAACTTTTAGTGTTTTAGTTTTTTTTAACATGAGACCATTATTCATATTCAATTATATGAATATGAATAAATGTACAACGTTACTTAAAATATAAATGAAAAACAATCAAATGCTGATTTTCATCGGTTGTTACACATCAGTTCAACAGAAAATATGCTGTCTTCCTTCATAGTAGAATACTCCAAAGACAGCAGACAAGAATGTGATTTTAAAAGTATAGTGATGCAAACTTCCTGACAAATTTGTTTTTTTGAGCTATCACCAGTATTTGCTGGCAGAACAGTCCATATGTATGGAATTTCTTTAGCAACATATCTCTGCGGTAAGAATATTGATGATAAGTACATCAGGAATCTATAGAGTTAAGGGATATAAATTACTGGGAAATAGTGTAAATTATGAATTAGCATAATGGTTTTTAACAGCTGTTTCATAGCTGAGTTAGCTCATTCTGTATTAGGGGGGTGACTATACATCATACGTAGAAAGCAGATATATTTTCCTGGACAAAAAAATACAACCATGTCAGGAGTTACCTAAGGAACAACGCTAAGTAATCTAAACCTGCCCCTACTTTGTACCATTTGATCAAGTGAGTTACGTGCAGCTTGGCTTTAAAACACAGACTGAATATGATTTCTCTTTAAAATACACGAAATGTACTGGAATTCCCTGATGACTTCCTCAGAAACTCTAAACACAACATTATAAGAAGGGTTCATAGAGGTACTCTGTTTCCCCTCAAATTCTCATTTGTCAATAAGACCATTGTTGAGGCATGGTCTTATGCACTGTGTATTCAAATGCTGATTTCTGTAGCCAGAGATCTGGCAGCAGTCCAGATGTTGGCAATGCCACTCGCATTATTCTGTCTCAATGTTGTGTAAAAACTGTTCTTCATCACTTCTGATTGGTTAATAAAGAGCTGAACAGCTTATAGCTGGGCAGGAGAGTTAAGGTGGGACTTTGATCCCAGTGGGGGTGCTCCCAGGTAGAGAGCAGAGAGCAAGAGAGGGACAGAGGAGAGCAGAAGACAGGGAGAGGGTTACCATGGGGACATGGATGGAGCAGGAGCAGCCAGGGTGAGACTAAGATGGCAGGTAACAGGGCGCAGAGCAGGGAAGTAGTGCAGACCAGTATAGACGGGTTAGACTAGCTCAGTATCTGCCCAGCAATGTTGCTTGAAGCTTATTAATAAATACAATAGGTCTCTGTGACATCATTTGGGAGTGAAAAGGCAGGTATTAGAAAAGCTCATACTTTTAATTTTACAGACTAGTACAAGAATCTTATTTTAGGTAAATGCCTCTCCTGAGAAACACATCTGGTTGTATTGAAAATTTAATTTACTGTTAAGTTTAAAATAGCCACCATTTGTCAAATGCCTGTCTTTAAGCACTATCCTCATAGTTAAAGTCCCTACCTGCTGCAGGGTGTGGCTGCCATACCCTGACCTCTACCTAGGGGTGGGGCTTCTCTCAAAGAGGCCCTTCATTGTATAATCCAAACATCTTGGTTCCAAAGCCCCTTTTCACCTTTTCTCTCCCTTTCCCCGACCCCGCTGCTTCCTCCTATCCCTCTCTCCCTTCCCCAACCCCCAGCAAGTGCACGCTGCCCTTCCCCCTTCCTCTCCCTCACTACTCCTAAAAAAACCTGCATTTATAAAATAAAGCTTCATCTCGCCATGAGCTCATTCTATTTTGTTTAATCAATCAGCTAACACCTG